AAGCTTCTGAGTGCAGTCTTTTTGTGCTTCTTTGTCTCCTTTTTGTCCTTTAAAAGAAAATATTATAATTTATTCCTTTTTCTTTCTCCCAAGCTACAAGGAAGAAAAACAGAAGAACCAGAAATGTAATTTGCAGGTCTTGTTGGCTGGGGAGGAAGAAAGTTTTAGGTGACACATTGTAATTGTTGTACATTGCCAGGAAAAAAAAAAATCTCTTTAGGACTTCAGGTGTCTGCAGCCATTTCATCAAACCTCAGAGGTAAGAAGTGTCAGGCAGTTAACAGAACACTCTAAGAACAAGTGCTGTCCCCTGGGAATGTGGAACAGTTTTGCAGATAGAGGTACACCAACATGGGCTTGGTCTCCGCTAAGTAGCCCCCTCCTTTGTTTCTCTTTTGCACTTTGCTAAGCAGTCCAACACCAGATTTCAGCAACAGAAGCTGTAACTTGCAGCTGAGAGCAGGGTATTAGCAGAGGGAGGGTGTCCAGTTTGGGGAGAGACCACATACCTCCAATTCAAATACGACAAGGATAAACAGCTGTGTCTGTGTATAAACTACCCTTGTGTGCTCTGAACTGAAACGTGTGCAAACACAACAATTCATCTGTGACCCTGCCCAAATGAGCACCACAGGTCCTGCAGCATCCCTTGGATTTGAACTGCCACAGCCTGCTCTGATGCTATGCCGGAGGTTGGAGCAAATATTGGTAGATGCAGCTACTGTCCTTACCTCAGTGTACTGCATCTCTCCAAACTCAACTGAGATGTAGAGTTATTTGCCATATGGAGACACTACTGAAATATGTTATAAAGTTCCAGACCTGTTCAATTGCATTCAACAAGCTGCTTCCCAACAGTGCTACCCATAACTATAGCTGAGAAACCAATTTCCAAAGGTCACTGCAATTCAGAAGTCAATGAAACCCTCCCCACCTGTTTTGTACTCTTTACAGGCAACGTCTTGAGAGGTGGCACTGGATTCTTCTGACAAGGTAGGCAGACACCAGTTGTTAACCTGGGCTTGGATGGCTGAAAAAACAGTGGTTTAACCTGGTAGTTGACAAATCAATGTTTTAGACTATAATTGTGCCTGAGTGACTTCCCTTGGCAATATTTTCTGGAAGTTCAGCTATGTGAATTATAAATGGCATTAGTCACTTGGTCTGTGGGGAAATGCTGGCATTTCGTGACTGTGCAATTCTTGTATGTGCTTTTTTTAATCTACTCAGAACTAAATAGAACATTCTAGTGAAACTGAAAGGAAGAAAGTAATACAAATCATTGTGCTTTTCAAGCAGTAGCTGCAGAACTACTTCTGCCACCTAATTTATCCCCAAGCTTTTACTGTCTTTGGAATGTAACTGAAGCTCAGGCATGGCATGCAGTTCTCAGAAATGAGGACATTGTGCGACTGGAGCTGGAGAGCACAGCATCTTACTGGCAAGGAAGGAGAAGGTCGGTAATCCATCAAAAGACTATGCAAAGATGAACAGAGCAGCCATTCATGCATTTAAAATACATTCACAAATTTCAAATAAGTGGTTGGGTTAATGGATCTCACATTATGAGTAACATGTTGTGTTTAAAGCAATTAATCACTTGCTGATGTTGTCTGGTCCCTGGAGAAACGGGAGTGGTTTGACAGAGATGCTGCAGCAGTTGGATATGCATGCAAACACTGACTCATGAAGACTGTTAGGGAGGTCTCTGCAGCCTCAGGTTCCCTGTAGCACCAGGAGCTGTCAGAGGAAAAGCAGAGCTTGGAAAGAGCAGCCAGCATACACAGCTCTTTCTCACCAGGGATGCCATAACAAATTAAAGCAAACAATTTTTTCCCATTGGCAGAGCCACCTCTGTCCTTTGCTAAGACTGAAAGTTTGCTCTTCATTGAAAAGTGTTTTCTCTAGCAGCACACAGTTTTGGTTCTGGAAGATCAGAGTGTTTCTAAGAGAAAATAAGTTGGTTAAAGCTGACAAGAATATTTCCTACATACCTGTTGGGCTTGCAATTATTTTTAAAATTAAGTGCAGTTCCTTCTGTGATTGCTAATTAGTGATCTCACATTTTGATCAGGCCAGAATGCCCTTCCAGAAATTTTGCAGGAAAGTGCAACTATGCAAGTAATTCAAGGAAAGGAAAATAAGATATCTCAAAGGAAAAAGACAATAGTATGAAGCAAATGCATTTTTCAGACTTATGGGAATGAATTCTTGAACCTACTCAAAAGCACATCCAAAATGTGTCTTTAGAAGAATACTGATACTTGAGCTGTTTCTGTTTTCAGATTGGTTGCCTCTAAGGAGAAAAGGAATCATAAATGTGAAAGCATGTTTGAGAATTTTTTGTGTCACTTTATGGTTTGGGCCTGCTGGCTTGCAACGGATTTGCATAATTTGAGGCTAATCTGTGTGGCCATTCAACTGAGGGAAAACATTTTATTTGCAATCATAGTATTTGTAGTAGTAACAATTTGCAAAAAATGTAAGCCGCCTCATCAGAAATCAGAAACGTGAAACACAATTTACCAGTAGAAGTCTGATTAGCAAATGAGGTCTCATAGTATGGCTGCCCACTGTGCCATAGGAGAGCCACCTGTGAGCAAAGGGCTTGGCTGGTTTCAGCAGTGATCGCAATGCACACCAGAAAAGGGAACACAGGCATAACAATGACAAAGCAAAAAGGCGCAAAAACAATGACTCAGACAAGTTGTGTGACCTATTTTTATGGTCATCTCAGGTGATGGTGGAGGAGGAAGTGTGTGCTTATGGAAGGCAACCCTGTCTTTCCAAGGGACAGGGCTGGGGAAGGATCATGGACCTGTGGAAACGGAGGCAACCTCAATGGAGGAGAGGTGAGACCAAGGCTCTGCTCTTTCCATAAGACAACACATGACTTAGGCCCTGAGTCCGCCTCTTGGCTTGCTTTGGTCTCCTTAACCTAGAGAAAGAGCTGTTTTACAGAAGCATCAGCACCTCCTGGGTCTTTCATCACCTCATCACTGAATTACATGATGGGTGCAGACTCCTAACTCTGAGTTATATATGTGCTCTGTGTTACATTTGTGCTACTCATTGCAGCATGGCCTTTCCTGGAGCTCAGGTCAAGGCCAGGGTGGCCTTTCCTCTTGCAACCCACAGACACTGGGTGCTGAGCCAGGTAGGTGCTTATGAAAAACCAACCTTATGGACAAAGTGCTTGTGAAAAACCTAGTACCCCTGTCTGCTTAGCAGCACAGCTGGGAAAACCTGAGTTTCTGGCTCTGACATTTGTTGTCATGTCCCCTAAAATTCAGTTGTGTCATAGAGGCAGGAGATTTTCACAAGGTGCCATTTACTGTAGTTGTCTGGTGGGGAATGTCCCTAGAATAAAAGTGAAGCATTTAAAAAAGGGGAAGTGGCACTCAGTGGATCGTTCGTTCATCTCTCTGAGCACACAGCTAAGATGATGATGGTCACTTGCCTGCTCCTCTCCAGTGTCTGGACTGCTGTTCCAGGTAACTTCTTTATCTGTCTGGGTGTCTGTGTAATTTTCCTAACAGCGTTAGGAACCTCAGTGGCTGTGCCAGCCTCCTTCCGTGCTGCTGGGTGCTGCAGTCCCCCACTTTGCACCCTCCTGGGGCAAACCTAGTGATTACAGGGCACTTGTGGTACTGTACTACTTACCTTGGGCTCAGGCATGTCACTGCTGGTTGCATTGACAGCATCCAGTTCTTAATTTAGCACCAGTGCACAATAAATTCCAGAGAGAGATGTATAAAGGTATTGCAATGGGCAACTTATAAAGCAGGCAGAGTGTGTTTGTAGGTATCTGCTCAGGCCATCAAAAGCATGGATGTATTACAGTGGGTTTGTATTTAAAAATCATGTAGAAAAGGCTGGATTAGTTTCAAACTAGCTTCCATGATCATGGTTTGTAGTCTGCCTATGGTACTGCTGAGATCTAGAAAGCAAAGTGACTGGCACAGCTTGACAACTGGCTTCTTGGTCTTTGATAGAAATCTGCCTGGCCATGGTCACAGCCAGAATCTCAGAGCACCTTCTTGAGTAGGTTAGCCTAGTGTACCTCTGGACACTGCAGACAGCCTCACCTTCTCTGCAAAGATATTTCCCTTTCTTGTAAATTGAATTATGTTTTCAGTGCTGCAACTGTTACTGCTGATATCTCCCTTCCCATGCTGACATGCACAAATAAACTTTGAAAACTATTATGCCATGAGAACTGTTGAGCTGAGCTGTCAGCTTCACTTTGTCTATACCCTACAACAATTTTTGCATGTCTACGAATTGGAAGAGGAGACTGATTGTTTTCTTCTTTTCCCTGGAGACTTTTCATACCATGGCATTTATACTGTGCAAGTTTTCTCTCTGCAGGCCATCAGTAGGGTCTCTTCTGCAGCTGTTTCTCAGCAGCATAACTTCAATGCTGAGATAAGAGGACAGATATAGTTTGCCTCAGGTTCTTCCTGAGAACCCTTCTTGCTTTTTTCTTCTAGTTTTCTGATCCTTGCCAGTTTCTGACAAGTGTGAATACATGATGTATGTATAGTGAGACACATAATCATTTTTAGCATTTTTACTGATTTGCTACACCCCATGCCACAGGAGGGCTAAGAGGGTGGTATTGGGCCAACAGCTGTTTGTCAGCATGGCTGAAAGTTTAGGGAATCTCTTTGTGGGTGCCCATGGGATAGCAGTCCTAGCAGACAAATCAGTGGCTCCCAACACCAGAACTGCCTTTCTCGGTGCTCTCTGCAGCACAGATATCAGGCTGGCAAAATGCTTGGTGTGAGAGGTGGCAGGTCCAGTGAAACTCTCTGGGTAGTTCTTTCAAGTTAATTTTCAACTTTTCCTTAGATGGAGGGATAGAGAAATCCTCCAGAGCTGCTCTGCTTGGAAATGAGGGTGAGGGGCTGTAGGGGCCATTGGTGGGGTTGGGCTGCAGAAGAGTGTGAGAAATGCTGAGTACAGCACCTGCTTCTCCCCCAGCCTCTGTGCAGGTGATGAACAGAAAGGTCCAGTCAGTCCAGGCGGGAGGAAATGTTACTTTTTCATGCCGGTCAGTCACGAAAGAAGATGTGATACAAGTGACATGGCAGAAAGAGACGGATGGGGCTGAAGACAACATAGCAACTTACAGTACGATTAATGGCCAAAAAATAGCCAAGGCCTATGTAAGCCATGTGAGCTTTGCCCACAGCGAGTTACAAGCCTCAGCCATCTCCCTTCATGGAGTCACCCTCCAAGATGAAGGATGCTACAAATGCATCTTCAACACATTTCCCTCGGGGGCGGTCACTGGCAGGATGTGTCTCAAGATTTATGGTAAGGCACTGTAATTGTGTACAGGTGCTCATCTGAGGACCAAGTCATTTTTCCTGTGAAAAACCTTGCCTAACATTGCTACATTGATGCAGGAAAAATGGTTCTCCCTGCCTCTCTCCCTCTCTGGTTTTACCTCTGATGGTAAACCAGCATTCAACAGTTCTTTAATTTTCTTCCCTTTCAAGCCAGCAACAGCAAGATTCAAAACTGAGATGTAACTCATGACTTCCTCTAAGTTCCCTGGCCATGTGCTGTGCTGACAGCTGCCTGGCCACAGCCATGTACCCCGTGCTCCTCTGCTTCCTTTCACTGCTGCTCTTACCCCTTAATCCTGGAAATCAGACAAATTTTGCTCTGCATTTGGTTATAAAAAAATTGCAAAGTATTCAAAATGCAAAGAGGCACATGCATGACCAGAATAGCTGGAAGCTCATTTTGAAGCTAGAGTAAAAATAACAGCAGTTGGGCTGCGGTCAGGAACAGGATATTAAAAAAAAAAAAAAAAAAAAAAAAAAAAAAAAAAAAAAAAAAAAAAAAAAAAAAAAAAAGGGAAGGCTGAAATACTTTACAGCTCATGGGATTTGACACATTAATATCTTGAGCAGGTCAGCATCAACTAGCTTAAAGAAGAGAGTTGAAACAAATCATGAGTCAAGATGGCAATATTTGTCACCTCCATATGAAATCATCAACTTGCAAGTGCAACCTGAAATAAAGACTAATAGATTAACTCAAAAGAACTAAGAGTAACAAGCTGCTTATCTTTTGAGGAAAGCTGCTGGGTTTTGTCCAGCTGAGAGAGCTGAGACATTAAACATGCTCTGAGGACACACAGTTGACTCCTAGCTTTCTCAGAGATGAGACTGCTGTGGGGAAACTGGCCAAAGATCATATCCCATCTGAAGAGTATCAGTGTCTGTGCCCTGTCACTGGTGATATGACCCCCCTAGTACCTTCTGCTGACAAATACATGGACACATATGTCCACACACATGTCTCTGGAGTCCTCTGTGTGGAGAAAGGAAGCTCCTAACCTAGAGGGGAAAGGAGGTGGTGGTGAAAAATACAAGGGAAAACCAAGTCTGGAACAAAAGTTCTTTTCCCCCTCTTTTGGGAAAAATAGGGCAGAAAAGAGAAATGAGGAGAAATTCATGCGGTATTTCATATATGAAGAGGAAAGTTCCTTAAGAAAGCCAGTTCTGAGTAATTCAGAGGGTAAGCACTGATTATACATTACAGGAAAAACATGGAAGTGCCTTGCAGAGGTATGAGGTAGCTGTGGGGTTTTCGGGGTGTCCCCAAAAATGGCTGCCATGGGTGTCCCAAACAGAGAAGTCTAGTTAAGTACAACCTGTCTGGGTCCCTCAAGCAGGCTCCAGGGCTGCAGGCAATCTTAGCAAGCTCAGCTCTTAAATGAGATCAAATCTTTAGAGATTCTCAGCTCATTAATGATTTTCAGCTCTTTTGCTTGCTAAGTGACTTTGGCAGATGCAGGGAAAGAGAGGAGAAGCACTGTGTGAGGTTCCACAGAGATGTCTTTATTGGCAGCTTCTGCAAAGGGTCTCAGTGACGGCTCTTCTGCTGAGCTGGGCAGATGAGGGTGTTTATATAGGGTTTAGGAGTTTTGGAAATTGTCCAGTGATAAGGGTCAAGGTGAACACGACCTATAGTCTTAAAGAGAGATAACTAGAGTCCAAAGGCGGAAGAGGGGCTTCTTAGGTCCAGTCATCATGACTAGGCATTTCTTATCTTAGGCTGCTGAATGCCAGGGAGGCCTTGCACGGTGGGTGCCTGATACATAGAGGGATCCCATTCTTTTTAATCATATAAACACTTAGATTTCTTTTGGATTTGGGTTTTGGGGTTTTTTTTTTCTTCTATCCAAGTGGGGGAATTCCCTCCCAAACTCACCAACCTTTTGGCTATGGTTCTTCCTTCACCAGAGCACTAATTCTAAAAAAAAAAGAAAAGGGATGTTTTTCTCCTGCCTCAGATGAAAAACGCATCAACTGAGAAGGATTTTACTTCTCTCATAGGCTCATAGGTGACTGCCAGAGGCTGCCTCACCAAGGTCATAATAGCCTTCCTGTAATGTGCTGTATCAAACCAGCCCTGGAGGGTCACCATGAACAAACTAAACATTTGGCACTTTGACAGCAGGTTTTAGTTCATATATGATTATCTCATTTAAGCTAATTTATACGATGCTACTTAAAAGCCATAATCTTGCTCGTTACTCCCCTACTCCTAATGATGGGAACAACTTGTCTGAACAAGCCCAGAGCTTGCCCCATGAGGGAAAGTGAAGCCAGCAGGAATCTCCCAAGGCTCAGAGGTTCAGGGCAGGGTGAGCAAATCAGAGTCACCAGTTGAAAATTAAACACTGCCATGTCTTTGCCCTCAAGAGGGGACTACCAGGGATTTTACAAGCTAGTAATTGTCTGATTACTGAAGCCTTACCTAGCACAGCTGTTCTGGGACAGGACGGGATGGGCACCATCACGGCACAATGAGGGGAAGTGAAACCACATAAGAACTGGATACAACACTGTAAAAACAGAAACAGGTATGACTGGAGGGATGTCAGACCTGCCTGGCTGAAAAGAGCAAACTCAGGAAGAAGCAGAAATGTCCTACCCTGTAGCAAAATCCATTTCAGAACAGAATAGTTTCAAGCAAGCTTAGTGGGTCTCTTTTGAGCAGTCTGCTGCATTCCCCCTTCATTTTACTTTGGAAATATTTGCCAAACTTCATTGTCAAAGAGAATGAGAATGAAATCCAGAATGAGGATTGAGCGAGATGGGGGTATGAGAGGGGGAAATTGGAGAGAGGGGGATGTGCCACATGAGTATAGGCAAGACTTGCTGAGTCACAAAATTCCCTGGACATTTGCTGCACTGACTTTGGAGACCGCCTATCTTCACTGTAGATGGCAACATTTGTCTGGAAGCCTTGAGCCCAGTTGGAAAAATGCCATCGCAATTTCTGAGACAGGGAAACCAAGGCACAGTACTTCTGGTGAACACCCATATGGTTTGAAAAAGCTTTCTGTTATCATGAGGCATATTGTGATTCCTACAATCTGTTATCATTCTCTGTAACACCACTGCTAAGCCTTTAAACATAAAAAGCATATAATGAATCAGGTCATTATATGCTTTTTATTTTTAAAGGCTTAGCAGTGCCTAATTCCCTCTAATTACAGAAAGCCATTTTCAAATATTTGGGAATGCTGACAGAGCTCAGATTTGGGAACATCTGCAATACTGATCTGCAAGAGAGACTAAAGCAAGTACTGGCACACAACATCTCAGGTGAAGACTTTTTCACTGGAAACAAATATTTTGATGAAAGGCAAAAGAAGCAGTTAAGTGTATGCATCAAACATGAACAGCCAGCACATACTAGCAAACAGCACAGCAGGACTTTCCTGCAAAAGCAAGCACTTACAAGTTTTGACAGTGCATCTATTACAGACATTTGCTAGAGAGAAGCTCAGCCCTACAGGTTCATTCATTGGGGTCCATTGTGAGAAGAGAGAGAACTGCTTAGTCAGAAGAAGAGCAGGTGTGGAGTGCTTGTGTTTCTGGCAAGACACAGAGAAGTTATTCTCATCCTCTGTGGCAACATCTGTGACTTCTCCCTGTGATTTCTTGTGAATTTTGAAACCTAATATTTGAAGTTAATATGAAGCTGTGGGTGGATGTGTTAATTTTATGCATCCTGTGAGTGAAAGAAGTTCAGAGATCATTTATTAATCAAAACCTAAATTGTTTGTGACACTAGTCTTTTCATATCTGGGAGATTTTGAGATGTTCCAACTGAAATCCCCCTAAACAATTTCCTTGTTTTTGTCAGAGGTTTCAGCATCTCTGTGGGTGTTGAGTTTTTGCCTATGGTTGATGCAAAAAGTGAGAAATACAAATTTATTTTTTCTATGCTCACACAGCCATAGTAAGTAAATAAGGTCAGGCTTGTAAAAAAAATCAAACAACAAACAAAAAGCAACAAAATTGTTGGTATACAAAGTCTTGCTTCTACCCTCTGGCAGTTATGGCTTGGAAGAGACAGACAACCTTTTGAGGTGCATCTGGAATTGTACCAGGAGGTTATAGGTGCCATTACACACCTGGCGTGCTCTTTTTCCCCTTTTTGCAGTGTCTGCTACACCTCACAGGCAAATCTTTGTTTACCTCACAAAAGGAAAAATCGTTGTTTTTCCTAAGAAGAATGAAAAGAACTTTTGTTTGTTCATTTAAAAGCAGAATTGCTAAATGATAGAGGTATGTTCTAGTGTTGGGATAAAAATTAATTTTACTATAAATATTGCACTTACCACTGTTATTTTTCTTATGTAAGTAGTAATATACACATGGAGTTCTCCTAATTACAACAGCAGATAGTTTTTTAAACAGAGGGTATTCATGGTAATTCAGACTTGATTGAAACTAGAATTGCCATTGAACTTAAATGCTTAAAAAAAGCAATATTCTCAGAAACAGAGACCTAGAAGAAGAGTGTGATTTAGACCCCTATTTCCTCAGCACATGCACTGAAGGAGAAGGCAGGCTAGTGAGCTGCCATGCAGAAACCCATGGATTGCACTCCCAAATTACACACCTTTAGAGATATTGTGCCTGTGCAAACTGACCTTATCAAACTGAGCAGAGGCTTGAACTAGACATTCTCCTGAAGTCTCTTCTGACCTAAATTATGGCATGATTTTATGCCAAGGGATAAATAGGTGATTTTTAACATGGGACATGGCTTATGTGCTCAGATCTCATCTGGAGTTCTATCCAGGTTGAAACCAACTTCCAGAACTTCTCCCTTTTATCTATTTCTTGCAAGTACATTTGCAAAAACATTCCTATTTGTATAAATAGGAATCAACAAGTAGGCTTAATGTGAGTGATTAAGCATGAATGATGCCTGTAGTTCCTCCTTCTTCCAGACTAAAATTAAATGTGACAGCATCCACAAATCTCTGGAGTGAGAGTGTTCAAAGAAGTGATCTTTCATGATAGTTTTGAGGGATACTATTACACACCCAAAACCCATTTACAAGAGGAAACAAAGTTATACAAGCACAAACCCTCCACAGGTGAAATCCTATTGTGTAACCACATACAAATTCACTATTACTGTCTTGCATAAATCGATCCATTTAGTCCTTTCATTTGCAACTCTACGCACCTCAACAGCAAAAATGCTAAACAGTGGTAAAGCTAATCCTGCAGGTAATTTTAAAGGAAAATAATTCTAACTCATTTAAGCAGTTCAGCTCTTTCAGAGAGAAAAGGACATATGACTTCACAGTTTCACTGCCTTCTGCTTTTAACTCAGCCATAATCACCACTTCTCAGTTGGGAGGCTGCTACTAGTAACAGAACTGAAACAGATGCTTCTACCCTTTTGCCCTTTCTGTTGTCCAGCTCTTCACTTCCAGACTACTATCTGATCACCTTCATATTCATCACTTCATATTCATCTGTCACTGCTGGGGCTTTGGGAAGGAGGAGCTAAGATTAGATAGTAAGCTTTTCCTCCAAGATAACTGTAAATACAGATCCTCTCTGCTCAAACATAGGCAGAAACTAATGGACTTTGTCACTTTGTTCTTTACAGCCATCTCAGACCCCAGAGTGGAAATTAAACTTATATCCAGTCCAGACAAAGCTGAGGACTCTGAGAAAATGGTGGGGATGAGCTGCTCAGCAACAGGGAAACCAGCTCCAAAAATAACCTGGCACCTCCCCAGCAGCCTGCAGCAGAAACCAAGGGAGTACCACATAAAGTTCAGCAACCAGACCATGACTGTAATCAGCAATTTTACCCATACCCACTCCAAAATCCTTCGGGAGTACCCCATCACCTGCATGATCCAACATCCTTCTCTAAATGTGACCCTGGTCCTGCCTACAGACAGCCTGGAGCAGGGTCAGTATGTAACTCTGCTCCTGCTCTGGAGTAGGGCAGAAATTGGGAAGCACCTCCTGGGGTAGAATCAGAAAACTCCTCAGAGGGTTGGAAGGTGAGAAAGGCACCTGGAAGAGCAGCTGTGGCTGGGCTTGGGAGGGATGGAGGAGGTGCCATGAAACATCCAGATGCCATGGCCAATGGCACATAATGTCTTACTTACTGCTCCTCAGGTCCTCTTACCCACCATGATGTACCCCAACCTCCCTGTCTCTGTGAAAGACTATTTGTGACAGGGTTCCCTGTCACGTAACGTGACAAACCAAGACATGCCAGAATTGGGTAGCTCAGAGGGGCTGGGTTCTACATGCCTGATCTTAACATCAGACCAAGCACAGATCTGCTGGCAATGCCACTTATGTGGATCATACTGGAATGCGCTCCCAGTGCTCTTCTCCATCTCATTTCACCCCAGGGAATGGCCAAGGGATGCTTCAAATGGGTTTCAGGTTGTTTTTTTACTTCATGCACAAACTGAGTACCTGCTACTTTCCCCACAGGTCCAGACAGCAGCATGGCACCGGCCATTGCCATTGCACTGGGGGTCCTGGTCCCCCTGACCTCCCTTCTCATTCTCACCTGCCTCTTCTACCACTGCCTCAGTCACCTATGTGATGCAGAGAGAAACCCAACCTGGCCCTGCTGGGTAGGTCTGCCTTTCCTCAGGGTGCTGCAAAATTCACCCCCACAGGTCTTGAGGTTCAATACCATGACCTGGCTCTGCCCAGCCACACCAGGGCAGCCTGCACACTGCCCAAGCCAGGCTGAAACTGGGCTGGAGAGGGACACAGGAATGAGCCCCCAGCCAGACAGCTGGGAAGGCGAAACCTGATTGTGTATAGCCAGGCTACAGGTGCTCAAGAGTGCTGGCAGCTAGAAAACATTCATTATGCCAATGACAAGGCACGCTGAAGTGGGAGCATCACTCTACTATTATATTTATGCACAAAATAGTTGTGTAAGCAGTGGCCTTGTGTGGGTCTTCTGCAGCTCATAAAATAACCTCCCTCAGCACAACCAACGCAGCTCACGAAGGCAGCAACTTTGAGGATGGGCCTCAAACAAAATGTGGTCTTAGAGGAAAACCATGCCTCTGTGAGGGAAGCCCAGGGTGCCATGCTGGGGCATGGGCTGAGGCACTGCTAATTGTACACCAAGGCTATCCTAATGCAGGGGGTGCAGGATACAAGCTTGAGGTGGGGATAAACTGAGGTGAAGTGCAATCGTTTCAGAAAATCATAGTCCAGTTTCGTGAAGTCTCCTCATCCTCCTTGCAGTACATGCCTAGCATGTGCACCCTTGATTCTGGTGAGCATTTTGGAAAAAAAAAGGTAGTGGAGGAAATGCAACACATGTCTTAGGTGTTATACCTCTAGGTCCAAGCTGAAGACTGCTGATGGGACTGCAAGGGGAGAACTTTAGTCTCCCCTCACAAAGAGATGCAAGGACTCATTGGCAATACAAATATCCAGGATCTTTACCCTCACACTTAAAATATCCATATATTTTGAAGAAATAAACACAACAACTTCTCTTTCATCAGGTACTTCCTGCCTGCACCAAGGCCAAGAAGTGCAGGCAGTACAGAGCTGCAAGCAAGTGGGCTCCTGCAATGTCCCACAGCCTTGGTGCACCACTGAACACCTGAGAAGCTGCCCCACCTACACATGTAAGAGATAAACTCTTAAAATGGAACCTCAAGCTTCCAAGGAAACCTCCTGTGACTTTCTCCAAGAGAAATATAAAAAGGGACAATTTATAATATATATTTATTTTATTATACTATAATATTCTGTTTCATAAGAAAAAAAAAGTATTTATTTGAAACTCAGGCTGGCTTTGTGGATGCATTTAATGGAACTCATGTATTTTTGGGGGTTTTAACATTGTTTATTACTCTTTGATATTTTAACATTGCAAACTCAAAAGTGGAAGGGGGATTGTCTGAAATAAGGCAACATTTTGTAAGGCTGCTGGCTTGGAAAGTGTTGCTGATGGACCAAAGTAGCCCCTTACCAGGAGCTGGGCTGCAGAAAACCTGCAGAACAGCCCAGCACACTGCTCTGAACTTCAGGTGTTGAATTTGTTCCCTAAAGGGCACAAGAGATCAGGCCAAGACTACAGCCAGCCTGAATTTATAACCCAGGTGCCAAGAGCCATGAAGTGCCAAGTCCAATTTCCAGTAACCTCTCCTAGAGAGCAAGGTAAAAGGCACATAGATGTTTCCTTCTTCCCTCTTTCTCAGGGCTTTTCACAGCCCCCTTCTTTATGTACCTGGTCTATCACAGCTGCCTTGTGTTTCCTGACATCCCACCTACCTGCAGGAGGAAGTAGGGCAATAAAAGGGCAGTTACAGGGTTAGTAGGCTGTCTAGTGCATTTTGTTTGTGTCCTAGTGTAGTGGCAGGTGAGTGCAGTGGGAAGCAAGAGGCTGATAGGGCTGAGGAGGTGGGTGCTTTATTTATTTCCATGTGGGCAGATAAGTACCAGTGCAGGGCAAGGAGTATTCCTAATTCTGACCATGCTTTGCTTCTAAGCAGTGGATCAGATCTGAGCTGTAATCTCCTGTAATTCCCTGAATTGCATCATATGCTCATGAAGTCTTGTTGACTTAGGGAAGGAGAAATGAGCCCACCTGGCTCATGCTGGTCTTGTGGGAAGCCACCAGTGCAGGCTGCTTCCTCTCCTTCTGGCTTCCCGGAGCAAATGTGTGTAATCTGTTTTTTCCTCATCCATGTATTTCAAATGGGCATCCCACATGAATCACTAAGCTGTAGTCAAAAACCTAAGTCAACTAAAATGAAAGCAAGTGAGTTGAGAATGAATAAACATGGTCTTTGCTATAAAATACTTCTTTTAAACCCCCCTAATACCTAGAAATAGCACAGTTGGTGAGTGAGGGGAAAGAGGAACTGGCTGCAGCTGTTACAATTGGGTTTTTTTCTCCACAGCCCCCTAATTGTCAAAGGAGGAAGTAATGGTTTGTCCAAACTTTTCCACCATTGCTGCTTCGTTTCTTCATTGATGAGGGAAGAGGCCAGGAGAGAAGGGTTTCCCCGGGTTTGTGGAGGGCTGGAATGGGGTAGAAAGCCCCTGGCATCCTTCTTAAGTAGGCTGTATGGCCTCAGCCCTTGCCATTCTGTACAGTCTGCACTTGCAATTTAGAGCAGCTTGAGTTTTAACATGAGGTTTCTGCTAGAGTTTAGACTAAGGTTTTGTTGTTTGTTTTGTTGGTTTTTTTTTAATTAAAAAAAATCTCTCGCAGAAACAGGGAGTTTAGATATGGGTAAAGAAAAGGATTTCCTGAGGAAAGAGAGAAAGAGACGATCCCAGTGAGAAATCTATTCAAACCCAGGAAAATGGCAGTAATTATCAATTATTGTTTTATACAAGCTGATCTCCCGGAGTGTGGGAAAGCAGGACTTGGAGCCATGAAAGTATCTGTTTACGTGTGAGTTTGTAGTTTTTCATTTTAGCTGAATGTAGAAATTCCATGAGCTTTTAGAATTTTTTGATTATGAGAATGATAGGTCCAGCAGCTGGGTGAGGGTAGCAATGGCTTACAAGTAAATTTCTATACAAGATTTATTTTTCATTCATGGTATTAGAATGAGAACATGATATCCAGTCACCGAAACACTTAAAATCAATAGGTGTACTTACCTTCATGCTCTACAAAGCCACCTACTAAGATGCAGTACCATAAAATGCCATGTGCTACTGCTATGGTGTTTGGTTTCACGTAGCAGTGAAATGAATGCAAGAACACAGACTATGGATAATTTGGTGGCTGATAGCTATGGGCCAAAAAAAAGAATATTAAATAGATACAAACCATCTTTTGTGGAATAAACAAAAGTATGATTGATGGAATCAGAAGTTTTGGCTATGAATGATGAACATCCTAACTGCTGTTATGAGATTTCTTTGTAATTAGTTTGTGTTTGTCTGTCCTGTTACTTCTGTTAACAATTTGTAAGAATTCCTTGGAGGTTATATTTCAAATCAGTTTATACAGATACCTAGTATTTGTGTTAATAAATGGGTGGGTTTGATGCCCAAGACCTTTTGCTTGCTGTGGCCCTGCATGGCTGTAGGTGGAGGCAGTAGGTGAAATTGGTGTGGAGCTTGAAATAAGAAGTAGAAATAAAACTGGTAGGATGCAAGCAAATTTAGGTGAAATGGATTGCTTTATTTTTCTGCTCCAATACAAGTGATATGAAGCAGATTAATTTTGTAAGTAAATGGAAGCAGACCACATTTTTAAAATAAATTCTACAGGAATGTTCTGAGCTAATACTACCACCACCACCACAAAAACATAAAAATAAAAAAGAAACAAACAAAAAAGCCCAGGATTTTTGGCTGTTTTGAGGCTGGGCAGTTGTTAGTCTCACCCAACTAACCTGTGACCACTATGTGCTACTGCATTTTGTCCAGCCTCAGGACAAGTAGTGTTGATGCAGGATATAATTTCTCCTAACTGGTGGAAAAAGGGCAAGAGGGAATGCCACCTTCCTGCTTGCCTCTCACTTAGATAAAACTGGTTCTAGGTTATGTGTCTCTCTTTATAAAGCAAATGTAGCCTGCATCTCTCAGCTTTGGAATCCTTTGACCATGACATTAGGCAGTTTGGGTTAAGATTTTAACTCATCTAAGCATCCTTTTAAACAGTTGAGATAGATAAATAAAAGTTCTTCAGGCTGCATAAAATGTTCATTCTTCTGTTTTGGTATGCCAGGCTATTTCAGAGGTATATTGTGTTCGTATTTTTCTCTGCCTAGACACTGGGTTCCTGGTTCTAAGAGAGCAGTAAGATGCAAGCAAATTTGCCCCAACAGCTCTGGCTGAAGATGTGACTTTGGAAAATAGCTGAAATGTTTGTCTTAGATATTTTACAGGCACTGGCTGAAATAGGAAGAATATTCTTCTTTTGAAACCAGTGCTGGCAAAGGTATGGGACTAAGTTTGTTCAGTGAAAAGAAACTTTGTTTTGGTTATAGACCTTTGAAAGCATCACTCATCAATTCTCTGTTGTGTGAGCCTGGGGGAGTGATTCATCTAAATACCACACCAGTAAATTTTCTTATTAAATCAGACCTGGAAGAAAATATAACCCATTGTTTTTCATTCAGTTTTCAGCACTGAGCCCCTGGAAATCAGCTGAAACAAGATAATTGCACTAATTGATTGCATTTTTCTCTTTTATAAATGAGACTATCAAGCCAGGCAGATAGATACAAATCAAGTGTATTTTTGTTTTCACTCTCAATACACCAGAAATTGCTCATGTTTTTGGAAGCCATACAAATGGCCTTCTCATAGCTCTGCTGCCTTCGTCTTTGGACATATAAAGCTATGGTGAAAGGAGTACTGAATACTAGTCCAGCTCTTTGTGGATGGGCTCTGTTGTAGTCTGCTCAACTTTGAGAACAGCTACCTGAAATTTCTGGGAAGCCTGAGAGGATCCTCAGTCTAGGACCCCCATACAATACAGGGTTTTAAATTCCCTAACATGTCAGAAGCTGTGGCCCTTAAACACCCTAAGGAAAAGGCAGCTTTGTCTAGTAAAAGAGCACGTGAAATTGTACATGAGAGGCTAGGATGAAAGCCTTGCAGGAAAAAAAAACAAACCTACACTTCTTAGTAAAAAAACAAGGCAAAAAAAAAACAATTTTTTTTCCCCAATCAGAATATTCTATTTGATATTATCCTTTAGGTAAATTACAGAAGGCCTGGGTCTCATCCTAAACACCTGGGTCTCATCCTAAATCCAGGCTTACATTTCAGTTTAAATAAATCAATTTGCCTTGAGCCTTCCTTGTTTACAGGAATGTAGCTATTTTCATAAAGGAGATTGCTTGTGAGTTGTGGCAAAGCACTGACACCTGCTGGTATCTCCACACTGCTCTTCTGATGGAGAATCATCTACTCTTGTTTGTGACTCCTTTGTGTCAGATCCAAGGGAGGAAAGAGGACCCCAGCGTTGTCACCCAGCATGGTGCCTGGTAAGCCTCAGAGGCAGTGATCCACAGGCAATACTTCCCTGCCCACCATCCCTTTCCTGCCAAAGAGAAAGGGAGCAGGGTCTGTCAGGGCCTGCGTCCCCTTGTTTCTTCCCTCTCCATTAGACAACTCCCATACATACCAAGAAGATTGCAAATTCACACCTTGAGAGTTGCAAATACTTTCAATAGCTTGTAGCAGAGACTAGTGGGATGGGATGAACAAGGGATATCACCAGGCTTTGCTGATGGAGAGAAAGAAAATCAAAGAAATAACAAAGTGGCCCCTTCTGTTTCACCTCTGGCAACCAGTGTTGATCAATGATTGACAATGGTGCTGCTGACTGGCCACTGAAGAGCACTCTGAAAAAAGAAAACAAAATCTTTTGTAGTCCCCTTAGGCATCACAGCTGCCCTCTGAGGGAAGTGAGGAAAGGGATGAGCTTTCCTGGGCAATTGCTTTGCCCCACAGTAATCTTCCCCCTGCTCTTCTGGGCTGAAATCTGCCACCTGCTCTGTGGAGGCTGCCAGCAAGTGGAACCAGCAATGGGTGAGTGGAGCACCCTTTCTTCACCCCAGCTTAACTCTGGAGCACCACCATCTTTCCTAGCAAGCTGAGAGACGCAGATTTTATGTTCACTGAAATATACAACTTGGTGACTGGAAGAGTAGCTATTGAGCTGGGCATGTGTCAGCAGCAGCCAAATTGGGTAAGGCTCGGTCACAGAGAGCACAGGGCACTTTGCTCGCAAGCCATATGATCTACCTGTATATTCCCTTTCTTTGTTGTCTTGCTGAACTCCTCAGCACAGGGGATGGAGCAGGTT